TGTTTTTGAATATATGCATTTTTTTACCTTTCTGATCTGTACTATTACCTTAATTTACATTTTTTTAACCAACATTAAATGTAATTTTTGTTACAATCAATTGTGGCACAATCCCATATAAATATAATATTTAACTTATTCAATATTCATCCCATGTATAATGATTTTTTAAAAAGCTATGGGTTTAATTATTTTTTCAGCTTATACGGCATTCCTTAAAACTATATGACAAAGCAGTGAATAATTATCCCTTGCAAATGGTCTGTTTTCAATAAATTGTTTATTCTTATAACGCAACCACATGCTTAACAGAAATATTGTTTACATCAATATCTAATGTCATAAGGAGACTCTATTATACTACATATAAATATTATCATTATTAACACAATGTAATTGATGTGAAATTAATGGATGTATGCAAGAGAAAGAGAGACAAGATTGTTGCAAATATTGATGTTCTAAACAGTAATAACACCTAATATTTCCAAGAAATTGTTTTTCCATGTACTAATTAAAAAACATGGGTTTCTTATTGCCAGCTGTGTTGATAAAATACCGAAATACAAATAATAACTTTTGACATATTCGGGAAGCGGTAAAAACCAGTTTCTTTCCTGGTAAAATAATTACCCGCCCACAATAATAAATAAACATTGCTGCCAATTTACATAAAATATACAAGTAATTAAAACATTTTTGAATATTTATGTATCTGTTTTTGTGAAGGGATCCATCTGGTATATTAATAGACATACAGAACATGTAACATTTGTAAGACTATGTTCATTTATATTGTTTTTCTACAGGTAGCAAATTAAGGTTTATAGAGTTTATAATTTTTTACAAAAGTTTATGAACCAAAATAAGCTATGTGAAGCAATATATAGGCAGACAATATGTGTGTTTCTCTTAGTAAATAAGAATACTACAATAGTATTTTCTCCCTATATGCTATCACAGACTTGTCCACTGTTTTTTAGTGTCATCAGTTTTTTGTGTATATGTTTTGTAATTGTTATTAAACTCATTTCCAGACAAACCCCTTCGAGACCTTTTTGTAGTTCTTCATGCTTAGTCATGGTCACCGCTTTTCAGGCGACACCAAGATTTCATTAGCCCTCTTAAGGCATGCGTGTCTCTAGATGGAGCGACTATCTATTCTGTGGGACAAAAATGAACCAGGAAAAAACAAAACAATAAGAAGTTTGACAACAGCCGAGCTTGAGTAGCGCAATAAGAAAACGGTTAAACTATCTGTTGAAGGGCCCAAAAGAGGTTCAACTACAGATGCCACATCTATAGGAAAGGTACAAACATAGATGTAGGTGTATTTAGACGTACACACAACACAAGTTTCAAGCGGCAGATAGATGCGACAACGAAAAACTACATAATTCACATTCTTTTATTTTTCTTTTGATCAAATCGTTAGTTAATTTTTCTAGTTTCCAAATTTTAATATGCATTTATCAAAATAAGGAGAAAGTTGTAAGGTACTGTTGATATCCACAATATCAATTACTTGACCTCATCTAGCATAAGTCGAAATATCAGTGTTAAACCATGTCTTTAAATTTATTGTTATAACATACGAGGTCTGTCCCATAAGTATCTAGACTTTCGTTCATAACTTTGGGTCAAAATCTACCAACGGTCTCTGTGTGATACGTGCGGAATGAATAACTCTTTAAGAACTTGCCGTATGCACCAGTTCCAAACAGGAAATATCTATATAAAGTAATATATAGTTGAATGCTCGAATAAATGAACTTTAATAAAATAAAAGGCAGAAATCGAGCAGTTTTTTATCAATTTATTTATATATAATAAATACCTATATATAATTTATTTATAATATATATATATATATATATATATATATATATAACACATTTATATAATCTCATATTTCATCAGTTGACTTCCTATATTAGTGGTCGGTTGGACTTTTGGTCAATGTTCAGATTACCATAGAATTTTGAAATGTGCAGACTACATCATGATTGTGACTTCTCATCCAAGTTGTCATATGTCAGATGTCGGTTTAACATTTCTGTTAAGACCAGGAGCCATTCTCTCTCCTCCTGCCACCCACAATGTAGCTTCTTAAATTTTGGAAACATTTTTGTTTTTCCTTTGTCTAGTGTTGTGTAAATATATTATTTATTGCTTAAAGCATTCATAGAAGTGCTGCGTAGCCTACAATTTTGACGAAATAAGTCTAAAACGTTATATTTTTTTATCAACCATCAACTTCGAGTTTTTTCGAAAACTCGAAAACCTTAACTTGAAAAAACGTTTCTTGGCTTATTTCAGATGCCCCTTAAGATGCTGTGAGATCGAAAGTACTTGGTCAAGATTTAATAAAAAACTGTTCGATATCTGCCTTTTATTTGATTAAATATCTATATAGTTCGCAGTAGTATAAGTTTGTTTATGTTGTATTTTTACGTTTGTGGCTTTTTTATCATTGGAAAAAGTTGTGGAAACTTATTCAAATCTCGCATAACTCCCGTTTAGATAACTTGATGAGAAGAACATAGATTAAATGGCTCAATCGGTTTAAAAATGGCCACACGTCTGTTGGCATTGTTTAGGCAATCTGCCAACTCAATACTGAAAAATGTTGAACGTGTAAGACTTGTGATTTAAAAAAATCGTCGTCTGACTGTGCGCAAACTGAAAAGTGATCTTAAAACTACGAAAACTGGTATTTTGAGAATTATAAACGATAATTTGAGAATGTCTCTTCTGTGTGATAAATTTATTACAAAATTCCTCATAGCAGCGCAGAAAAAGGCTCGTTTACAAGTCATTATGGACAATTTGGTCGTTAATGATTAAAATACGTCGTGTGTTTACGGTTATAACCCCCCTCACCCCCACAAAGTAGACCTTTTACAATGGAAGCTTCCATCTAAGCATACAGGTTGATTTTGTTTTCTACTAAGAAGGTGTGGTGTGGTTTCTACTAAATAGATTGTGTGGAGTGATGAGAGCAAAACATATCCATTTATGAGCAAGCGTTGACCAGTTTCTTCATCACTATAATATAAATACATTTGTCAAGCCTTGTTCAACAGTTTTTGGCACAACACAAGATTGCACAACTCCTACAGTCTCCAAACAAATGCGACGATGACGTTGAAGGCCATAGAAAAAACTGAATTTAGGAACTGCATCAGTGATTTAAAACATCGATGGGAGCATGTTGTTACTTACACAAATGTAGAATGCAGGTTACCCCTAATTATGCCACGCGCAAGATGACAAAGAATAAAGCCCAAAATATTTTTTGAACAGACCTCGTATGCATAAATGACCTGTAATACTTTTAATAGCACAATTAAAATTTATAATTGTACAATTTGCTATTACATAAACACACTTTATAGAATTTGATATATTTATCTAGTTTACTAATCTTAGAGTACACCGACAAGATCTACAAGTAAATTTTACGCCACAATTTAAACTCTTAAATGTCTCAAAAAACATGAATATATTCAACACGTACCGTGTAAGTAACCTTAGCAGCATAACTTTAAATAAAAGAAATATAAGGTAAAAAGAAAATATTAAATAGGAATAAATATATACAGATACACATTCTAATTGTCTAATATTTGTATATGAACAGTTCTGTACGTTTTCATAATTCTTTATTATTGTTTCATAACAAAATATGTTTTGTCATGGGGAGTTTACAGTTTTACCCAAAATCAATAGTCTTTTAAAAGTCTCTTTGAGACACTGAAAGTCACACTTAGTATTTATACAATTTCTTTACTACACAAATTCTAAACACTTAATTACAATGTAATTTGATCTCTGTTATGATCCAAAACAGTAAGAAATGGCGCATTCAATAGGATATTAGCAAAAACCTTGTCTTTCTATAAGTTCTTTTGACTAATTGATGTTGGTATACATCATAAATAACAAAATCATTATTTAACACTAGTAGATTAATTTTATTTAAATATTAACTTATAGTATGCTCATATTATAGTAACATTTCCGTCTTGGTATAGAAATTCTTAAAAGGATACAAGCACATTTCGTTTAAAGCTATTTTTAGAACAGAGACAATATAATTTAATATAGGGTTCATATAATTCTTGCTACACCCGAGTTACTGAACTTGATCTCTGATCATGAACATTCTCTTCTCGTCTATTATGAAATATTGATATTACATTTATTATGGATTGTTAGACTGGCCTTATCTATATTACATTTATATCTATACTAAAACAGTATAATTTATTGTTATATACATAATATTATTTGAGTATAGGTAAACTCAATCTTCTGATTTAAAATAGCAAAGTATAAAGAAAAGAAATAAGAAAAAAAAGCCTTTTTCTCGACACGAGTGTCATAAGGAAATCGTTAGTTTTCCTGGTCGTAAAGAAGAGTCAAAAGATAATCCTACAATTTATCATCCTGCAGTTTCAATTCCAAGAAATGTCGTCATAATTAACTGTAGGTACTGCCCTATACATTTTATTTGGTGACACGTCAAACTGTTTTGATGTTAAGTAATCTTGATTACTACAATAATTCATTTTAAACTCTATAGTATCCATATTACCTTACTCTTACGGCATGGCGTCCAAATAATAATGAAGTCAAATCAGATCTACACCACGTTTACAAAATCGTTTCTTTTGCGCTAAAATTATTTGCGGATTTGTGTGTATGTGTGTCTGTGTGTATTATCAAAGAAAAGTACTTGTAACTTATAGTTAGAAAAACTAAATCTTTTTTTATAACCATAAAAAAGATTTATTTTTTTTAAATTGTGGTGTTGTTTTCAAGAAAGAGCAAATATTTGATATGCAAGGTTTAAAGCTATCAAACAAAAATCGCAACCGTAATCTTTTTTATTATTTAAACTTCGAAACAAATCAGAAATTCTCAGGAAACTTCACAGAAACGTACAAAACTGTTGGCTACAACCTATCGATATTTTCACAATAAAAGCTACCAGTTCACACAACATATTCTCCTATAGATTCTTGAGAATTATTACGCAGTCTTGTATCCGGTCCTCTAGTTCTCTTTTCGGACACCGTTCTTTTGGGAGGGAGTTTGAGACGTAGTAAGTACCATACTTTTTCTTCGTCGCGCCTGTCCCACACAATTACCCCCAGTGATCTGCAAAAAGAAAACAAAGTTTAAATCAGTCTAATTCAAATGTCACAAAATTAAAGAATCCACTACCCATACAAAGCCTAATATAACGAAATCTCATATCTTATAATAAGTACAGGGAATATTGTTCCGAAGTTATTATATTGTAGCATTTTAATATTGCGTACTATCTTTAATGGGAATTAACCACAATTCCAATAATTGAAACTACGTTTATTTTACATTTTGATTTTCATTTCGGAAATCGTTCTCAAAATATATTTGCATTTCCGAAGTGAAAACCGAAACATCAAAAGAAAAACGTATTTTCAACCGAAATTGTGGCTGAGTCTCATTGAAGATAGTAAATAAAGTAGTGAGAATATTACACGGTACTTTCTTCCCTATATCATATTTCAAAGACTTCTCTATGGCCGGTACTCTATTAATTGATGGATGCATGTAAGCAATGTTTATTTTATTTATTTACTCATTTATTAATTTATTACAATCTAATAGACTATTTTATAACAATTTGTGGGCCTTACCTTGTCTGTTTAAACTTTTAAAACTTTTATACTTTTTATTCAACTTACTCTTTTAAATAAAACCACAGACATGTAATATTGGCATAATTATTGTAATTTACAACATCTACTGTGTTTATCGTTATTAGACAACACCCTAATATGGGTTTTTTATCATTTCAGCATTTGTTTAACTTTGTATCGAGACCTGAGGATGCTTTGCATATTGTAGAAAGCGAAACCGGTCGTCTGATAGTTAAATTAAATTGATTGTGAGTAAGTCTTATTTATTATTTCTTTACCTATTTAATATTTATAAATGAACGAAAAAAAGAAGATTATCTACTTTTACATATGATACAAAGCAAACACAAAGATTTAGAAGTACTCTAAACAAAAATATGGGAAAACCAAAATTTAACAAAACAAATGACGGTTAGGAATTTGTGAGAAAAAACAAGAACTTTCAAGCAATTATACAAATTATTAATTCGCAGATACACAATCTAATTGATAATTAAAATTGTTTCTGGTGTTTAATGTGGTTTTATTTCCCAATACATTGGAACAATTAGGAAATGCCACAATTAATTAATGATATAAAAAACAATTACTTTGTACCGTCAGATATATTTTTAGAATTTAAAATTAGAAATATGGTAAATTCCCAATACAGCTAGCTGGAATTATGTGTTTGTTAACGAAGTCCACAATTGAAATTACATTTATTGTCTATTTATATAAAGGAGTAAAATTAAACCGTTGTGGATATTTATTATTGAATTAATAAGGTTTGGCTTTTTAGTTCTGCATATAGCCGCATAGAAGGCGCCACCAATAATATCTTCCAACACAAATGTAACTTCAATATTTTGTTGACATAAATCGAGAGTTTCAATGCGATACAACGAGTCTTGTAAATGCAGTGAATTTTTAAAATTAGCAAGTCCCTCGAAAAATGGATCTGAGCCGAGAACATTTTTTGGGGCAATAATTTTTTACGATTTTCAGAGAGGATTATCCAAATAGCAATGTCTCGTTGAATGCATGTCCGGCAGTACCTCAACCAAATATTTCTAAATCGGTGGATAGGAAGGCGAGGATCGATGGAATGGCCATCACAATCCCCCGATTTGACGCCATTAGACTTTTTCTTATGGGGATATGTGAAAAGTATTGTATACAAAACTAAACTCACTGACTTAGCTGACTTACGAAGACGAATAACGCTTGCGATTACATCGATCACAAGACGTTCGTGGGGAGCATTTTGAATATCTCCTACATTGACATTATTGTTTAGATTTGAATTATTTAGAAGATTTTGAATATGTTTTGAATTTTGAATTGAAGATTTTGAATTTTTGCATTTTACTTAATATTTCCGAAACATTCAAAGATAGGTATAGGACATTTCATTCAAAAAATGTCTATAATGATTTGAGCAATCTAAAAATTAAATAATATACAGGGTGTTCTATTTAAAATAAGCAAGTTGGTATTGGCCACCGTTATCTGATACACCCCGTATAAAAAGTTTTTATGGAAAAAAATGCGCAACTATAAATATTAAACGACGTGTTCGACCGATTTTTCAAATCCTTCCTAATTTATTTATTAGCTAATTTACTTCATTTGGCTGATACACACACACAGTATACAGTTTAACGTTGATTCCGAATGACTAAGTGTAGAGGATCAGTTGTATTAGATAGCTCAGAAAAAGAAATGAGAAACCTAGAATTACATAAATGTACCACTCACCTTATGACAGCGCTCAATGTTTCCCCTTCGGCATTCTTAATTTCAGGCTCGGTTTTCGGAAGCTCCTTCAAAGAAATGAAAATTACATTGGGACCAAAACCTTTTAATTGTTTCAGTGCTAATAAAAGTCTACTAGGATCCCAAGAACCTTCCAGCATAGCAGGCGATATCACAACAATTACTCTTCTGTATTTTTCTCCTTCCGACAAGTCTTTGTACCCTAAAAGTATACATTAAGAAATTTACTTTAAATATCATAAAAGACTTAAATACTATGGATATATAAGGGATATGGCAATGAAGTAATCAGGCTGTTTAAAAGGTAAACTTTGCAAATTTTGGTCAATTTAGCCATTTTGTAATTTCTGGATTTCAAGTATGAGTAACTTATGGCTAACAGTAAATCACTACGTCTATAAAAATTAAAGAAGTATCACCTTAATAAAATACCCTTGAGTATCAAAATGTTTGTATTTTAACTTTTTTGTTCAAAGTGACTTCTTTAGCACATTATTTGCCAAAAAATGAGATAGCGAAACTTTTTTCTATTTCAAACATCCAAAAATATTATTAAAATGATTCCATTTTACACAAAATCGTTCTAAAAATACCGCGAGCAATGACAGAGCACTATATAGTATGTGTGCGTTTGTTTTTCTAAACGCTGTTAGATCTACCCATTTCGCTGTTGTCGGAGCTTGTTGTTTGCTAATATCGAGGATAATCCCTTAAATGTCCTACCAAAAGGGCACCTAAATATTTTGTGTTTAGTAACAACCATCTGTACGAAATAACCTCTATTTCGTACTAGTCTCAGTTTCCACACGCCTCGTTATGAAATACCCTAACATTTCCGTCTGCTTTAGAACCACACGCAAATAATAATATCCCCCTCTTTGATTATTTCTTTCTAAAAAAGGAATATTTCTTCATTTAATTTCATTTTCCACTAACCAAGAAAGTAGTTGACATTCGACAAGTATTGTGTCTTCAGACCCCTGATATAGGGTAAGCTATTTTTTATACCTTTTCGTAATTCCTTATCTTGATATTATTCCGCATATTTTTACATTGATATTTCCTGATTTAATTAGGGTCCACCGTTATTCCAATGTTAGTCCACCGTAATCTTAACTATGGTCCAAAGCAAATCCGAAGTTTAGTCCGTCATAATCGTAAGTATCGTCCAAAGCCAATTTTAAGTATATTTCCCTGTTGATCCACGGTAAATCCCATGTCCGACATAATCCTAAGTATATTCCAAGTCTAGTCCCAGATTATTCCTTTGGAAACCGATTTCTATCCTACCTAGGAGTTCAGTTTTCTCCAGTTACATATAGAATCCTTCGTGTATCCAGGAATATAGGATAAAAACAAAAAAATATGGTACATAATATCTAACTCATACTTATAAAACTTTTCATAAGATATAAAATAACCTGATGGTTTACAATAATATTTCAAATTAGTTATCTTTAAATAAATATATTTGATCTACTTACACAAGCTAATTTCAGGACACAGTTCTTTAGAATCACAAGTGTATTTGTATTTTTCTTCCAAGGTTGGTAACAGAACCCCCAATGCCAATTCAGAGTCCGCTGATGTATAAACTACCAAAACATCCTTTTCCTTCCCATCGGAATCCTCCAAAGGACTCAAGGTATCCTTGAGGCGTACTTGAACCTTCAGCCCAAATTTGAGATACAATACCACTACCGCTACGAAAAGACACAAAATAGCCGTCATTAAAATGGCCAATTTTGCAATTGGTAGGGGACTGGGATCTAAATACTCCACTTCTATCTCTGGAAAAGAAAAAAAAATCATTTACATAATATATAAGAAAAACAAAAAAGAACAATAACTTATAATTTTAGATAACAAAAGGCTAAATTGAAAGAAATTATACTTTATTATTAGGCAAGACATTATTCCATGAGCTGAAATTGTTCTTTAATGGTGTTTTGTCTGAGACTGAGCAGATGTGACAAAGATTCGCTTATTGATCAGTCAGTGAGTGTAGTCAAGAAGTGATTTGAAGACTCAGGAGACTGAGTTTCTCAATTCTGAATGATTCTTGCTAAAAACTTACTTTCGAAATAAGTTCCTGTCGAAGACTTTCAACTCCTTGAAAGAGATCGAAAGCTCGACTAACAAAATTCGACTAGGTCCAACTCAGAAACTGAGAAGTTTAATATTAATTTTTCCAATAACATATAAATTGAAATGTTTGACTGTGAAAGCCTTTTCATGTAAATACATTCTAAAAAATTACGTTTTAGTAGAAAAAATTACCTCGTTCAATAACTTTTATGTATCTTTTAATGGTGATTCCGGGTTTGGTGATTACGCATTCATATTCGCCGAAATCTTCGGGTTGCATCGAATCTATTATCATATAAGCCCCCAGGGTTTGGCCGTCTTCTCTGAAAATCAAAATGAATAGTTTTAAAAACAAATAATAATTAGAAAAGGTAATAAAGTATATTATTTTATCTCTTCTTCGAATTGAATTATAGTAGTTAAAATAGTTTTATGATAATATTAATAGTATGGTACACGTTAGTAAAGCTTTATATACAATTTAGTGCTTGAATATCATCAAGCAAACCAAATTCAAGAGAGGACAAACGCAAAGACTTACCGGACCAATACCAGCTGGATATGGGATCCACCAGGTAAATGCACTAAGCTCGGATTTAGCTTTAATAAAGTTTGTCTAATAAATTGTTTAGCTGATAATTTTCCTTTACTTTGGTAATCTATGATATTTAAGAATTTGTAAACGAAAGGTACAAATGAACAAGTGTCAAGGGAATTTAAAAAGATTTTAAACTATTTTCCTGTTTTTAACAAGAACATAACGTAATTAAATCTTGATTGTTACGAAACAATCCATAAGCACCTTCTTCTTCTTCTTCTGGTTCCTATCCGTTTCGGATGTTGGAAATCATATTGGCAATCATAGCCTTGCTCGCTGCGGCTCGAAACAGCTCCGTTGAGGTTTTCTTAAACCATGTTCTTAAATTCCGCAGCCATGATATTATCCTTTTACCGGGTCCTCGCTTACCTTTGACTTTACCTTGCAATATAGACTGTAGCAGGGAGTAACGGTGCTGATTTCTTATAGCGTGTCCCAGATATTGCAATTTTATGCGTTTGATCGTAAACACAATCTCTGGTTCCTTCTTCATTTTTCCTAGAACTTCCTTGTTCGTGATCCTTGCTGCCCATGATATTCTCAACATTCTTCTATAAAGCCACATCTCAAATGCTTTAAGTTTTTTAATAGTGGTGTCTGTAAGCGTCCATGCCTCCGCCCCGTACAACAACACAGAGAAAACATAGTATCTCAAATGTCTCATTTTTGTATCAAGGGATATGTTGTGACTTTTGAAGATGGCGCTTATTTTGTTAAAGACCGTTCTTGCCTCCTATGCGGCACTTTATTTCCTGTAAATTGCTCCACTGTTCGTTAATAATAGTTCCCAGGTAACAATACTGTTTTACTCGCTCTATCTGCGTCCCATTAATGTATAGATGAGCAACGTTTATATTCTCCTTGCTGATAATCATTTGTTTCGTTTTGTGGGTATTAATGTTTAGTCCGTACTGTTGACTGTACTCGTTTATTCTGTCCATTAGCCTCTGAAGTCCCTCTAAACTATCTGCTATCTCCATGGTGTCGTCGGCATATCTAACATTGTTTATTCTTTCACCATTTAGAAGGATGCCTTCGTCTATTCCGTAAAGAGCCTCGTTAAAAATTTTCTCTGAGTACATATTAAATATCAACGGCGATAGGATACATCCCTGTCTAACTCCACGTAGTATTTTTAGGTGATCTGTTTCTTCTCCGTTAATTTTCATGTATGCGGTCTGATTCCAGTAGAGTTCTGAAATTATTGTCTGGTCAAAGACTGAGGTCTTTGCCATCCAGGTCTGCCTCTTTTAAAATGTTTATCATCTTTTGATGTTGAACTCTGTCAAATGCCTTTTCATAGTCGATCAAGCACGCGTATACGTCGCAGTTAACGTCCCTGCATCTTTGAATCAGTACCTGTACTCCGAAAAGTGCCTCTCTGGTACCCACTGCGTTAATGAAGCCGAACTGTCTGTCCGATATTTGTTCCTCGCACTTCTTATAAATTCTTCCATGGATGACTCTAAGAAACAGTTTTAACATGTGGCTCATTAGGCATTGTTCGATATTCTTCGCACTTTTTAATCCCCTGTTTTTTAGGTATCGCTATGAATTCTGATTCTAGCCATTTATCAGGGATGATTCCTGTATTGTATATTTTATTGAATACAGACGTGATCCAAATTATTCCTTCTTCCTCCAAGAGTTTTAAAAGTTCAGCTTCGATATTATCAGGCCCTTCAGCTTTCCTGCTTTTCATCCGTTTTATTGCTTCTTCTACCTCGGATTTAAGTATGTCCGGGGCCCGTCATCCTCTCTGAAAATGGATGGCTATAATCACTTTTTTGATCTTGAAAAAGTGTCTCCAAATATATTCTCCATTTGTTTTTCATCTCTTGGGTGTCAATGATTAATTTTCCATTAGTGTCTATGAGTTTCATTTGTGTTCGCTTTTTAAAAGTACCCGTTTTATAAGTACCTAATTTCAACTAATTTAAGTATTTTAAGTGAATAATTAACTATATAACTTATTATTTATTGAATCCTACTGGCTGACTTCGCGTTATCGTATACACAGATAAGCGGTCCCCCACTCTTTGCGCTCTATCTTAAGAAGGGTTGAAGGTACATAAAAGTACTTGAGACAAAAATTGAAGAGAATTTTCTATTCTACAAATGTCATAAAGTGTAAGGGAAACGAGATATTTGCAGAAAACTCATTTTCGTGACCTTTGACCTTTAATATCTTAAGTCGCAGACACGTGATTATATGAGACTTTTGAGGTAAGTTTTATACCATCAAAATGAAGACGTATGAAAATGTTCAGCTTATTATCTTTTATTCCGAGGTTTGCCCCCTTTTTGCCTTATTTTAGTGGATTATGAGGGAATATGTTTGTGAAGAAGATTAACATTATATTTAATGAAAATATATTGAGAATTTTCTTGGAACCTGCGTAATACAACATGAAGTGTTGCGTTGTGATTCGTAATATCTTCTCTGAAATTAACAATATGTATACATTGAACGAAAAAGGCTATTATACATACTAGAAGTGTAAAAATAAATATACCAGAAAAGAAGAATGAAAGCAATAATGACAACAAAATGTGTTCATGGGTTTGCATGTGCGTGCGTCTACATGGCACACACCATTATTTCCGCTCTGTGGCTTTGTACAATTTTTCAACGGCAGCAAATTAAAGACAATGCAACGAATGGATGTGGTACGTCGTCTATAGCCGTTTTACTGCATTAAAAAACACTAAAACATGACGAATGCGAGTATAAATTATGGTTCGTGAATGGCGATGCTGTTGGTTGGGTGGCAATCCGGTACTTAGTATGTTTCATGGCTTAAAGATCATTGCGAGGCATGAGACGACTAGGTCCGTTTTAAAATTGTTGGAAACCTATACTTAGTTGTTTTCAGAAGGGTTGTATTGTTACGTCTGGTAATGATGGAAGTTAAAAATAGTGTAGTGCTTTAATTACCGCTCCTCATATTTCGTTGTTAAACTAGCATGACAGGGAGGCCTCTAGATGAATATTACTGTAAGACGTTCTTCTTTTAAGCAAATCAACAAAAAGCCAGCTTAATTAGAAGAATCATTAAGAGTTTTTCCGAGCGGTGAGAAATCCATTAACTACGATAGGACAACGGATTATCGTAATACGTGGTAAATATGAATAGAATTGATAAATATATCTATTTAAAATAAGTACATAAGCAGCACTTTCTGATTGATAATTATTTACGTTTAGTTTTGTTTTATTGTCGAATTTAAGTGATGAAAGAGATATTTTGGAAGGTTCTCAAGTAACCTGAAAGTTTCTGAGGTAAAAAGAACTATAGAATTTGCTAAAAAGTGAAAATTAGCTGGACCAGATGACATACCAGTAGAGCTATTAAAACTTCTGTTAACGAATGCATTTGGGCTTCGACGTGGGTTCACAAACACAAGAAGTTCTATTAGCAATGAAGGTTGATTAAAAATGTATATTATGTTTGCTTTCAAGCATAATCTTTTGATATGTGTAAATATAGAAGGCATGTGGATATCCTGAAAAACTCTAGAGTAGATGGAACTGACATGAAGCCTTGTCAGGTCGTGGTGACACTCTAAATATTATAACTCGCCATCTCCATTGGCTGCGATCGTGTGCCAGATGAACGACTTCATATAAATATCGCTCTTCGTGTGGTCTGCCCATCGTAAATATTATAAGAATAATAGCTACCGGCCACTAGGGGATAGAAGGCTATAGAAGACTCGAGTTAAAGGATATTATATCAAATCAGTAGGGATACAAAAAGGAGTCAGGGATGCGTTCTATAAAAGTTAATATTCGATCTGCTCAATTCTACTAAATAGATAAACATCTTAAATTATGTTAAAGGTCTACACAGCTATGCATAAATAGTTGCATAGCTATTAGGTCTATCTAAGGTGTCACGTATTTGATTCCGTGTATTGATGGCTCTTCGTTTTTGGAGAGGGGTCCATTTTGGCTTGTACCTATTTCATCGGCGTTCGAGTTATGCAGATCACAAACCAATTGGCCATCCATATTATTGTGATATTTAAAGTCTTAGTGCGCCAAGCAATTAATTAGCTAATTAATTAATAGATTAGTTAAAATTATTTAAATGATATGATTAGAATTCTATCACACTTTTTATTTCTCTTATCTCAGGGTTATATTCGTGCTTCAATATCTATGCTTCACATGTGAAAGGTAAGGTCCAAAGAATACCGGAATAATAAAAAACACATATGATATAATACTATATATTGAAATAAAAATAATGAAATAAAATTCACACTCAAATATTTTCAATAAACAATATCTCATATAATGATTCTTAAAATTTTGTTCTACGTACGTGAACCTTCAAAATTAATGGTACAAACAATATTAGTTAAAATCTCAAAATCCCAATTATTATTCTAAATCTCCTAATCAAAATGTTTATATCTTTTCTAAAGTAATTGTAAAAATTGTGATCAATAAAAGAAAAAAACTGCAGAAAAAACAAAACGATCTCTCTGTGATGATGAGTGGTCCAAATCCTTGTTCCTTATAGCCTATACTATCTATTCTTAGCAGCTTCCTCGGTAATCAGCAATCTTACAACAAATTGTTGCAAGTTTATCGTCCTTAATGATCTCCTTCAAATGCACGAATCATTCAAATTATGACAGCCTCTTCTCTTCTCGATAAACTGAATCTCTCGTTGGCCCGAGTGAAAAATGACTCTTGGAATATCTTCTCTTTAC